TAATACCAGAAATACTTTTTAAAAAAATTAGTATCAGCAATAAATATTTGAAAAAAGAAAATATTACCAGAAATAAAAATCTTGTCAGCATTGAGGTTAATATGCCACAAAACAAAAACCAAACTATACATTTTTTAAATAAAATATTACCAGCTATACATTTTTCAAAAAAAAAGAAAAAAAAAAAAAAAGGAAATAAAATAAACCCATTGTGGTTGATATGCCATAAAACAAAACAAACCAAACTCTCTTCCAACTCAACATTTGACTCAATTGAAGTACCCATACCTGATTTCCCTCCTAAAACAGAGGCTCTACTGAGTGATATGCACATAACCCCATCTTAGACATTATTTCTAAATTAGACTCCCATAAGGCAAGTGAAGGTAACAGGATGCCAGCCGTCGTCCTAAAGAAATGTGCTCCTGAGCTGACTCCATTTCTCACAAAACTCTACAACTATTGCCTTGCTGCTTCATGCTTTCCAGCTTGTTGGAAGTTCTCCTCTGTAGTCCCTATTTTTAAGAACTATGGAGAACCTTCTGACCCCTCTATCACCCTATAAGTTTCCTACCACTTTTCAGCAAAGTATTCAAGGCTTTAATCAATACTGAAGTGGTTAAATATCTTACCTCACACAAACTACTCTCTGAAACAATATTGCTTCTGTTTTGCCAGGTCTACCAGTGACGTGCTAATGGCCATCAATGAATATATAAATCAAGCTCTTGATAATAACGGTGAAGCTCGTGATGTGGCTTCAGATATCACAAAGGTGTTTGACACGGTTTAGCATGCTGGCCTTCTATGTAAGCTCCAGGGCTACGGTATTACAAGACAAGTGTTTGATTTAATTCAGTCATTCCTATGAAATCATGAAGGTCATTTTGAATGGGCTTGCTTCCAGATCCTTTTGCACAAATGCAGATGTCCCCCAAGGCTCTATTATGGCATCCTACACTGTTTCTGATCTTCATCATGATCTTCCTGATGCCATAGGCATTTATGCAGATGACACTACCATTTACTCCTGTCTCAATAGCAAATCTGTCAGAGATGGCAAAGTTAACTGGGTTGCTTCTCTTGAAAAGAACCCCAAATCAGTGGTTAAATGGGGCAGAAAATGGCTTGTAAATTTTAATGCATCCAAAACAAAACTGCTCTCAAAACTGCTTAACCACCATAGAACCATAGAGCATGGTTGATTCTAGACTCCTGGAGAGCATCTCACTGCGCCTTCTTGGCCTCATGTTTTCAACTCACTTGAAGTGGAATGACTACATTGAATCTGCATCTATTGCAAGGAAAGTTGGGTCACTGTGATGTGCCAGAAGGTTTTTCCTGTCAGAGTGCATCTTGCATACTTTCAAATCTACCATTCATTCATGCACAGAATATTGTTGCTATATCTAGTCTGGTGCTCCTGCTATTCATGTCAAGGTTTTTGACAAATCTAAAGAAGGATCTGTAATGTAATTGATCCTAAGTTGGCATCTTTTCTTCAGTCACTTTCCCACAGATGTGATGTGGCTTCCCTCTGTCTTTTCTACAAATATTTTCATGGCAACTGCTCTGATGAGCTGTTTTCCTTGGTGCCTAGACTACATGAATTTAAGCATGTTACTAGATTGGCATCTAGGTCCCACCCATTTACTATTGAAATAGTTAAATGTAACTGCCACTTCTCCTCCAACAGTTTCTTTTCTTGCACTTCCTGCCTGTGGAAATCTCTTATATTTACTTGCTTCTCTGATAACTACAGCCTTCAAAAATTTAAATGCAAAGTCAATCACCATCTTCTTGAATCCCAGTCATCTTTATCCTTTTCCTTAACACCCCCCCTACCCAGTCTTTTCTGCCACCTTCACTCCCTGTAACCCCATGTGTACTAGTGGCATTCCTGCCTTGTTAGGGGTGAAATGGTTAAAAAAAAATTGTTATTATTTCAAGTAGAAAGTTTTGTGTTCTCAAACTAAAACTGTGCAGTTGGGATGATTTATCTTGACTAATTTTACTTATGAAATTTCTATACATCAATTAAACACATAAAAGTATTATTTTGTCACATTAATTTGTGAACATTAGCAATAACTTTCTTCCCAATTTTCACTACGATTCTTTAATAAAAATCATTAGCAATGTCTTTTCATTATATCTATTATTGCCCTATTCTATCAGTAATGCTTCCTGACCAGTGACAATCCCTTTCTGATTTTCAATGCGTTTTTATAGTAAAATCGAAAGCAATGCAATTCCATTATATATTAGCCATATTCTATCAGTAATGTTTGTATTCATTCCAACTAACCCTACTATGCTGTGCAGTTGACAAAATCAAAAACAAACGATGTGCATATATGAAATTAAAAACATAAAATGGTGATAATTTATCCATCGCACCATGTAACTCTTCAAAGATTGCTTTTTTATTATCTGAGAATTGCCATGACATCTTCAAAAAGACAATACAATGGTCTTTCCATTACCTTTTTCCTTTTGAATTCAGGATTGTTCTTTTCCTAGAGTGGTTGCCACTCAAGGCAAAAGAGTCTAGAGTCCTGTGGTTCTCAACATGGGGCATACACCCGATAGGGACAATTTGAGAATGAGTTATTAACAGTGAATTTTTTTCTACTAAGTCAGTGTGAGTATGAGTGTGTGTGCATGTTAGTACATACGGTGCATATACTGTATGCATAAATAAAAATGTCTGTGTATGTATATACATGTGTAATTACATATTTATTGTATATAATATAGTAACACAATATCTATTTAAATTATTTTATACTAGCATAAAAGCCCACTTATCAGGCAACAACTGAGCTATCTCTTGCAGAGGGCTCTTGATTGGACCTTAGGTTTGTTTAGGACTTTGAGGGTCCTTAAGTTTTTGTATATTCTCAGCACTGGAAGTTCTCATGGGTGCTATTTGATCTGGGTTTTCATTTTCATGGGACTTTGTTTTCCTCACTGCAGCCTTGGCATTTTTTTATTGCAATCTGGTCCTCTGTTGGTGGAGATTTCTTTTTGCAAGGCTTACTGTTGCTTTATGCAATAGGCAACAATAAACTACAGAAGAACTTAAAGTATCGCATTAATATTTTCTTCTGTTGCCGCTTAATTTGAAGACAATTATTTTTATTTCATGGGTGATTTTTGCTGGATTTTGAAATTAATTTTGATTATTCACAAATTTATTCCCAAGTTATAAAAATTGTTATTGTACAAAAAAAAAAAAACACACCAAAAACAATAGCAGTAACGAAAAATTGAGAATTCAAAATTTCAGGATTGTGGATCCAGGTTTGGCACTGAATGTTTTTAATTTGCTCATAGAGTTGGCCTTATTCCAAAATGGGATATGTTGGGTTACAGCCTCTAGAATTAAAGTTGAAAAAATGTGACACAGTGACACACTGACATTTGGATTGATTATAGAGATATATATAAAATATATTATATGTATATTATATAAATATAGAATATATATTATATATAAGTCAACTTCCACCACCTGGAGATGATTTGACATGCTATATATATAACAAGAAATGCAGATCGATGGCTGGTTTTATGAGCCACTGTCATTCACACAAATGAATGCAGTGTTGTGGTGGGGAGCTTAACTGATGGACTGAACTTGTCAGTGAGGGTCATACTAAGCTTTGACAGAGTTGACATAATATATATATATATATATATATATATATATATATATATATATATATATATATATATATAAAATCATAAGGGCATGCTTTGAATGCCCAAACTGCACTAGGATGTGCAAGTACAGGTTGAGCATATGAAAAATGATGATTGATCTAAGTCAATTTTCACCCCCTGGAGATGACTTGATATGCCACACCTGTGACAAGAAATGCAGATCGATGGCTGGTTTTATGAGCCACAGTCATTCACACAAATGAATGCAGTGTTGTGGTGGGAGCTTAACTGATGGACTGAACTTGTCAGTGAGGGTCATACTCGCTTTGTGAGTTGACAGCCAATATATATATATATATATATTATATAAATATAAATTATATATATGTAATATATATATATATATGTATATTAAGAAATATAGTCTTAAGGTTTGCTATATTTATGGGATAAAGTGCTCAATATCACAGATAGAGCATGTGTAAATATAAAACTGAACATAGAAGTCAACACTTAGAGGTGACAGTCTGTTTCATGCTAGATGCAATCATCAGGCCACGAGTGCTGTTATTTTTCTCGGTTATTTATATATACGGGTCAGTGGTGCATTGTGGGTAGTCTAGTTTGGCGGTTATTTTACCAGAAGTTGTTTATTTGTTTATTTATTTATTTGGGTTAAATTATTTTGCTTGTTTTTATTTATTTTTATTTTTATTTCTTATCTTATATATTTATTTTTCTTTTTAAGTTTTATTTTAATTGGTGCTTTTATTAATGGAGTAAAAAATTTGTTTATATCGCTTATTTAATAGTTTTGTTTTGATTTGGGAAGATAATTAAAGCTATTTATTCAATTTTGGGGTTGATTGTTGTAGTTTATTCTAACTATTATTTTGGCGGGAACAGGTTTTAATTTGTTTATTACTTCATGTATTTATTTGGATTGATTATCTTTATTTGTTTTTTTCTAACGGTTAGTTTATCGGGATCGGTTTATTAGCTTATTTATTTGGATGAATTTAGATCAATTTATTTTACTTGTTATTATTTATTTGTTATGCTGTATATTTTCTCTTTTTGGTTTTCGATTTTTAAATAACATCGTATTTTTTTCTCTCTTTTATCATTATATAACAGTTGTAGCTATTTTTTTTGTTCGATTTTTATAGTCTAAGTAATATTTTGGTCATAATGGTTTGCTAATTTGTTTATTATTTACTTTATTTATTTGGGTTCATTGATTTTGTTTCTTATTTTTTATTCTATTTTATCTATTCTAATATATATATATATATATATATATATATATATATATAAAGGGCATTAAAGAAGTTTTGAAATTTTTTCAGGACAGACATTTATTAATTTCAAAACTCTAATCTCCTTTAAAATTGGATCCTCTGACTTCACTCTATTTGTTGTAACACTCTAGCCACTTTGTGAAGGTCCCTATGGAAGTCATCCAAAGTGAAAGTGTCCAGGAACCTTTTCACAGCCTCCTTAATATTTGCAATGTCTTCAAAACAGAGATTTATTTCATTTTTTTAAAATAATTTTTAATTTGAATTTTTTTAAAATTCTTCATCCTTCAAACTTAAGAATTTGAATGGTATAAATATAATTATAATAATTTTAGGAAACAATAATTAAATAAACAAGTCTCAACACACAATTTTAAATCATTGCCATAAAAACGCAGATCTCATAATGGTCGAAATTTATTCAACACCTGAAGATTGCAGGTTTGCATGAAACTGAGTTGTGCTATTGATGACGGATATTATGTATATTCACTAATATATAGAAACTTAATAGCTGTGTTATATAATACTGAGCACTGTATTTGTAACATGTGAGAAAAAAATATATATGTACATGCAAATTTATGTGCGTATATGTATATTTTTTTTTTATCATACCCATATCTATACCATCCTGGGCATAACGATAAACTACATCCAAGTCCTGGGTAAGATGACAAACTGCTTCTGATCAAGAGGTTTTGAGGAGCGTGGAGCTGCCTCTTAATTGCTGGTGTTTCCAGGTAGCATTTGTTAGGATCCTAGCCATGGACAAATAGTTAAACCCTGAACTGGGGTCAAAATACTATGAAAGTGTAAAAATAGGTTTAATAGTAGAAATACTTTATAAAAAATTATTACTAACAATACATTTAAAAAAAAAAAAAAAAAAAAAAAAATTACCAGTGATACATTTTGAATAAAGGGTATAAGCAGAAATAGATTTTTTTGAAGGAAAAAAAAATATCACCAGAAATTCATTTTTGAAAAAGAAAGAAATATTACCAACAATGAAAATTTTGTCAGCATTAAAAAACCTATTGAGGTATTGATATGCTGTAAACCAAACCAATATATATATATATATATATATATATATATATATATATATATATATATAAAATGCAGATAATAATTGCTTTTGATGGCTGTTTCATCTTGCCTATACTTGTGTTGTGCACTCTCCCTCTCAGAGACACACACACAAAAAATGAAGAAAAATATTTATTAGCATATCTTATACTTACTTAATCAATTGTTCCAAACTTCGGCTAACCTGTACTCTATCACAGGCTATCATTAACACTGGTAACACGGTATCATCTGAATTTTTCACCTTGGGCAGGTTAAGATTTCGTATTACCACACCATCATTTTCATTGTTTGCATCAGCGCCTTCATTATTTGGAGGGTTGTTTGGGCCTGGAGAAAACAGAAAAAAATAATGAATTTCTATCATTGACAGTTTGCTTGTGTCAGGGTGCAGTAAACAGCTATTGAGAAAGACGTTCTTGGATTTTAACAATGTGTGTTGCATTAAAGAATATGACAATTTTTTATAGAAAGATTTGTCTTCATTGAATGCTTGCCACTCTAATAGCTTTGAAAAGAGCAAAAGAGAAAGATGTCATTGAAGGAAAATGTAATAAACATAAAATCAAACTGAAAGTTGGCTTTGAGACTGTAGAAGCATTGTGTGAATAAAGGCAACATACTGTGTTGACCCAGGTTCAAATCAGACACTTATCTCACCTCTTTAAACTCCCCTCTGATGTACACTTTGAGATCACTAATTAACTATAAAACACATAATGTTAGAATGCAAAGGATATACACAAATATGCCATCAATAATATATAATTAACCAAATTTTGAAATATATTTAATTTTGAGAATTCTGCATTATTAATATTACTTCTCTTCCCACTGCATTTTTTTCTCAATTGCAGTAACCTTATAGTTCATTTCACTCAAAGCTGTTTTCTGTTGCTATAGCAGGATATGACAACACAACTGTGAAATTCAAACTCACTATTGTTCAGAGAACAGAGTCACTTTCAATGACAGGATAAACTTTTTGTGCAGCAAATAAAGTGATGTACAGAGTGATAAAGGTTAAAAAAAAAGGTTACAAGAAAGGAAACTGATTGATTTGTTTTTTATGGCTTATCAACTCTCTGCAGGTTATTTAAAGCCAGAAAATATTTTAGAGTTTATGATTTTTCTTTTTGTGATAATAATGGTTTAGTGATACAAGTCTTACTAATTAACCTATATCAGGTGGGGGAAGAGATGGATTCATACCTTTCCCAAGGGTATTTGTGCATAAGTAAATATAATGAACCCAACTGGAATTGGAACTCTGCTTTCTGGTTAACAATTCTAAGCTATTATACATTACACCACCTGCACATCCAAGCTTATAACATCTGTTATTCCCAAGCGGTCACCCATCTAAGTACTGACCCAGCATGATGTTGCTTAAGTTCAATGCTCATACAGGAACTGGTGCTTCAATGTGATGTGGCCATGAGCCACAAGGAGAGAAAGATGAGAAAGTAAGAGTGAAAAAAGAAAGAAAGAAAAAAGACAGGAATGAGAGTCAAATGAAAAAAAGAAAGGAAAAGGAAGAGTAGAGTGAGGCAAACATGAATGCAGGTGAGGACAAGGAAGAGGATAACAATGGGGAGTAGAAAGAGAGAAGGAAAGGATGGGGGAGTGTAAAGAAAGATGTGGGAGGAAAAAAGAGGAAGAAGAATGACAGTGGGTAGAAAAAAGTGAGGGAAGGAGAAAGAGACTTTAGAGAATACTGGTTTGGGGAGAATATTTCCAAGACTTCTAGGTAAAGACAAAGTGGCTACTAAATGGCAATATCGTTATCTGAGTCTGCTTAATTAACTGCATATACCTGAGCATAGTGCAACATTTTTATGATCAATTTTATGCAAAAATTAGTTGAGGGAGGGGGTGCACTATACACAGGTCATTTTTTTTGGAGAGGTCAAAAATAAGGCTTCAACAAAGACAAAAGTACAATATCTACATCTTTGTATCAGATATTTTTACAGTAAGTGGTTTTAGCTTTATACAAAAAAGAAAGAAGAAAATTTATTTGCTAGAAAATATATGAATGATGACACCCATTATTGCAATATTTGACTATGGTAGACCTACTAGTGCTGCTCAGAAGCTGGAGTTGCATTATACACAAGCTATATGAAAGAGAAAATCAGGTTTTTCAAAAAATAATTCAGGGGTCGCACTATACATGAAGTAGGTCTATATACGAATATATACGGTAACTTGAAACAAAAACCCTGTGAATTTTTTAGTCCCTTATTTCTAAACAATTTTAAACAACATTTTTTTAAAAATCATATGTTACTATATTTTTTTATAATATTATTTAATATGGTCACATTGCCGAATGATTAGAACATTTGCTTTCAGACCATGATATCAGGATTCGAATCTCATCTTTGTTCAATTGGTCAGGAAGGTGGCTTCTTGATGTTATCAATCCTATAGAGGTGATTCAAGTTTGTGGCATGCTTGGAAAGTGCCTGAAAACTATACCACAAGTTGACCAAAGCTTTGTGAGTGAAATTGGGTAAATGGAGCTCAGTCAAAGCCATTGATGATTGTACTAGTACAATTTTACAATCCATCATGAGCGAGGGAATGTGTGTACTAGCCTTGCTCAAACTGGTGATAACGTCAGATTATGCAATCTCTCCTAGAACCTGGAAGTCTGCTCAGCATGGTTGTAGTATGAATCACAATTGGGCTCAGCAAGTTAAACACAAATGTGCCTGAGCAGGCATCTGTAACAAGGACTGGCTAATGACCAAAACACATGACAATTATATTTAATATACAAGACAGGGTTTATGACCATATCACATAGAAACACTAGTTCTCATATGAGCACCAAAGTTAAGCAACATTGAACCTGGTCATTACTTGGGTGATTGTTTGGTGTAAGCTTGGCTATGCGGGTGATGTAACAAATAACCTTACAGAATTGGAAACCAGAGAACTGAGATTCAATTCCAGTTGTGTTTGTTATATTCACTTGCATGCAAATATCTTTGGGAAGGCTATTGATCCAGCTCTTCTCCCAGCTATAGGCAAATTATTATTTTCTGGCTTTAAATAACCTGTAGAAGGTTGATAAGCTGTAAAAAACAAAAACAAATCAATTCATTAGAAACAGACAAGAGTACCAAACTGTTGTGTAATATCAATCCTCCTACATGGTAGTGAACAGTAGACAATTTCTTCATAGATGAAGTGAAAACTACAAATCAACAGAAGGATGCTGAGAATAGTATGGATGAAGTATGTAAGCAACAAAGAAGTCTCAAGTAAAATGGAAACAAAAAGGACACTTTCACAGAAAATCAGAAAGAGGAAGCTGAAATTTCTTGGATGCATAATGAGAAAGGAGGGCTTGGAGAATTTGATACTCAAAGTGGACAGGGTAGGGCAGGCAGCCACCAATCTAATGAGTTTGGTTGAATGAACGGTGAAATCAAGGGTGGGAGGCTTGGCAAAGAGACAAATGTTACTAAAGGCTACCTCGGAATCTGAAACTGTGGAGGGCTTGATTGCCTGAATCTTGAAGGAACACAATACATAGAAGATCTTGAGAAAAAAAATGAAGAAAATGGTACATCCTGCAGAATGATGATTGGTAAAACAAACTTGCATATTAAATTTGTTTCATACCAGATGCTCACATTATTATGTCCTTTGTTCAGACTAAGAAAAATGAACAAAGGAAACAGCATTACTTTGCTTGCTCAAGTAGCTCCTTGTATACACAAAATATTTAAATATAAGCAATAAATTTCTGCAGAATTTTGAAAAGGGTTTGAGATGTTAGACATGGCTATAAGACGTTTTCTTGCAATTCTTAACATGAGAAAATGGTTGTTCCTCATTGTCTGTGGTGATAGCAGGAATTAAAGAAGAATAATTGCCATATTTTATCAGACAGAACTTGGGCTGGCTGTCAAGCACTTTTGTGGCTACAAATAAGAAAACATGGTACCACATAAATGACTTAGCTAAGCCCAAAAGACATTTCTTTGCCTGTCTAGTGGCTGAGATGGTTGCATAGTTTCATTGGTTGAGTCAAGGAAGAAAGTTAAGCAGACTCTCAGTTGTAACACTGGTGCAACATAATCTTCTCATTTACATTCTGTTATAACTTGCACTTAGCATGTCTCAGGCTACCCACCATTATGTCATTAGAAATTCTCCTTGATCAACTCCAACAGAATACCCTTGACTCACTTTGAGTTCTTTATTTAAAGCATCTTGCCTCATTCATTAATGTTACCAGGAGAGGGTTGACTTATTTACTCCACAACACACCCACATCTTCTGCCTCCTCACTTAACTTTTTTTATATCTTATTCAGTCCAATAACTGTAACGTTGCTTTTGTTTAGGGAATGTTTTAGCTTGATCTTGGTGAATGGGTCATTGTATTTATCAGTATTGTTTTGATATAAAGTTAAGTTTTTTTCTTTTCTACATTATTTTTTAACCTTTGGAAAGTTAGAGAGTGTTGATTTCTGGAGGAATTGTTTTTGAATTCTTTCACTACTAGATTAACTATGTCTTTTCTTTTTGTACATTTATTTCCATTTGGCTTGTTGAGAAATTCCATGATAGTTTGTGTTACTTTCTCACTAATTCTTTTTACCATTTCCCATGTTTTGCTGATTGGTGTTTAGCTGTGAGCAGACTCATTTACATAGAAAGTCACAAAAACTATAAATAGCTATGGCTATTACCCATGAGGTGGTTGAGTGCATACTAATTCCCATGAGTTAATAACACTACACTTCACTATAATAGCATTGCTGATATCTAAAGAACCAAACGAACAATTATCATGGATAATTATGAATATTCCCAAGCGTGGCTTAGGATACTAGCAGCTAAAGCTAGAACAAAAATCTGAAGGATTTAAAATCAGTCGGAGGAGAAAACCAAATAACTGATCTCTTTTTGGCAACTGCTGGTTGCGGGGCTATTATAAAATTATCAGCAATTGCACACCCAAGACAGTTGGAAGAAATGACGTTTGATGAGATAAGTCAACTAATAATGAAAAACACAGCACCCAAGAAAAAAACTTGTGAATGCAGTGAGAGCTAAGTTCATGAATATTTCTCAAAAACTAAATAAACCAGTTATTGAATATGTTCTTGATTTAAAACAGGCTGCTAAATATTGTGAATTTGAGAAAATGAGCTTGGAAAACCAGTCAATCGAAGAGGATTTGATCCAAATGAAATTAGTAAATGGACTTCAAAATGAGAAGGTATCAGTAAATGGACTCTGATACATTTATAACTGGAAAAGTTATCACTAGAAGAGTGTTTTGAATTTGTTCAGTAACAAGAATTAATTTGAAAATTTATTAAAATAAAAGTTATGGTTCTGGATATATATGTGATAAAGAAAAAAGATAAAATAATGTGTACTTTTTGTGGCTATCAACATCAAAGAGAAAAAACAAAAATGTCCAGCATATGAAAAAAAAAACAAAACAAATGTGAAAAGTGTTTCAAAATGACTCATTTTAAACATAGAAAGAGAGAAACATACAGATGGTAAAACAAAATGATCAAAAAATAAGTATGGACGTCTTTTCATTGAAAAAAAAAAGAAATGAAAAAGGGTTATTAAAAATTCAAATCAATAATGTATTATTGGACATGCAACTAGATACAAGAAGTGACATGATATTGATACATAGAAATTTCTGGAAGAAATTAGCAAAACCAAGTTTAAAGAAAAGCCTTGTCCAATTGAATCAGTTTGACAGGTCTCTGATAAAAACATTAAGCTATTTTGAAGCTTACATGGAACTAAAAAATAAGTTTGATGTATTACCAATTACCGTGGTAAACAGTGAAAAGAATTTTATTGGACATGCAACTAGATACAGGAAGTGACATAACATTGATACATAGAAATTTCTGGAAGAAATTAGCAAAACCAAGATTAAAGAAAGGTCTGGTTCAATTTGATGGTTCAATGGTTCTATAATAAAAACGTTAGGCTATTTTGAAACCCTCATGGAACTAAAAAATAATTTGATGTATTACCAATTACCATGGTAAACTGTGAAAAGAATTACGGTCTAATAGGAAATGATGTATTGGACATAAATTCAACAAAATTAATAAACAAAGTCAAGGTAGAAGAAAATGGAATGTTAAAAAAAAAAAAAAAAAATGAAACAAAGTTAAGAATAAAGGAAAATGTCTCCCCCTCATATTTTCAAGTACAAAAAGTGCCAGTCCATTTACTACCAAGAGTTGTGGAAAAACTAAAAAAAATTACTGGAAGTAGATTGACTTGAATGTGTTCTACTAGGAGGGTGCAAATGTGCCTCCCTGTTAGTAATTTGAAGAAAGAAGGATGGGGATCTGCACATTTGTGCTGACTGCAAAATAGGCGTAAACCACAAGATATGTGCAGACTCATATCCAATCCCCAATGTAGA